GGAGGTCCAGGGCAACACCGTCATGTTTATTTCATGTCTCTTGAATCCATACCAGTACAAATCGTGAAGAATGGTAGCATGCATTCTCCTTGATATCGTGAACATTTAATTTTTCCACCATCGCTCTTTTTTTATCCCGTTATATTTCCCAATTTTTCTTCCTCTAAGCAGTATTCTTCCACTAATTATTATTACAAATAACCACGCACACACACGTGTATATATATATATATATATATATATATATATATATATATATATATATATATATATATATATTGATGCAAGCTTCATTAAATAATATAGAACATTTTTCTCTATTTTAAATTCTTTTCATATCGTCCGATAAGCTTAATAGCATTATCATTAAAAGAAGAAAGAAAATCACAATATGGATACATATTTTTTAATACAATTTAAGCTTTCGGCTTATATAAGCCATTATCAAATATGACATACTTAATAATTCTCGCTTTCACTCTCGCGTGGTCATGCTTGACGTCATGAGCTGCGGTGCGATTTTTGTCTCATATGCACGAGTTTGTCGTTGCTTGGAAATCTTCCATGTAAACAAAAACTGAATATCATTATTGTTTTGTCCGTGTATTGTTTAATATATTGTAATGTAATTGCCATCTTTGAAAATGGATTATGTAAGCCAGAAGCTTAGATAGGATTAAAAAAATATGTATCAATATTGGGATTTTCTTTCTTCGTTTAATGATAATGTTATTAAGCTTATCAGACATGAAAAGAATTTACATAAAAAATAGGCAAAACTTGTCTATATTATTTAATGAAACATGTATCAATGATAAAATGCTGCCTAAATACACACGCAATATATATATATATATATATATATATATATATATATATTTCGAAAACGTCGTTATTAAGGCATATGTTGTTAAAGTCGATAGAAATTTGCCGTTTAATAAGTTTTTTTTTTGTTTTTTCTTGCTTTCTCGCCAGTTCTTTTTTTATATTTGGGTCTAAGTTGTGGAAATAAGACCCTAATCCATGGTGTTTTGCCCAACGCTTTCGGTTATCGTCAACCATCGTCAAGGCTGTATGTTTTGATTTGAAATAGTTTGCTTATTATTATAAAACGGTTAAAAACTTTTGAAGCCATCCTAAATAAAAACCAAAAAATCCAACATAAATAAAATAGCATTTGATACTGCCAGAAACATCTTAAACATATTTAATAACTAATCCTCCAAATAATAAACATCTCTCCCCTTCTTATCCATAATGAACTAACCCAACCAAATTGTCTAAGTATCCAAAATATTATTAATAAAACTAAAATAATAAGCAACCTTTTCAAATCAAAACATACAGCCATGATAACAGTTAGCTATCGGCAAAACACTATGGACTAGTGTCTTATTTCCACAATTTAGACTATATATATATATATATATATATATATATATATATATATATATATATATATATATATATATATATATGTGTGTGTGTGTGTGTGTATGTATGTGTATTTAAAACTTTATGAGAAAGCAAGAAAAACTTTAAAAGATTATTAAACGGAAAAAGTTCCGTAGTCTTTAACAACACATGCTCTAATATATATATATATATATATATATATATATATATATATATATATATATATATATATATATATATATATATATATATATATATGTGTGTGTGTGTGTGAAAAGTGTATATAAATATAAATAAATATATATATGTATAATTATTTATATATTATATGCGCGGTACTTATTAGAAAGCGCTCAATATCAGAGATAGAGCTACATCTAAACAAATATATATATATATATATATATAATATATATATATATATATATATATATATATATATATATATCATTTATATGTTTGTGCAATTTTTTCTTACATGTATTTTTCTAACATGTTAGTGTTTGGAATTAAGTTTAGATTTAAGTTATGAGATATTAATTTTTTTTGTTATGATGTCATTCTCGGTAGCGTACACAGAATTTGATTTCGTGTTTGTATTTGCAAATAAGCTCTGATCTTTTGTCTAGGAATTTATTTTATAAATATAAATATAAATTTAAGGTATGCAGTATTTATGGCTAAGATACTCAATATCGGGAATAGAGCTTGTGTAAATATAAAAGTGGACACTAGCGACAACACCAAGTGGCGACAATCCGTTTAATGCTTAAGCGCAGTATTCAGGCCATATATGTTGTATGGTGGCTCGACTATTTATATATGCTTTTTAATGGGGCATTATATCTAGCGGGGTCAGGTAATTCCAGTTTATTGTATTATCCTAACGGTTATTGGGTAAACATCAACGGTTATATTTCAAAAGGCTATTGAGTAGAAAGAATTGTAGACCAGAATTAGGTTATTAGAGGCTATTGCATAGTGTTTGTTATCTTTTATCTTGTAACTCATTACTTATTATTGATTACTTAAGTTATTTTATAATTATTCATTAATTATTATTATTAAAATTACTTGCTTGTGATTGTGCGTGCTTTTTTAGTTTCTTAAGTTTATTACTTATTTTAATTAATGTATTTATTCCTTTATTAATTTATTTTTTTTTAAACTTCTGTTTGTCAACTTTAAAGTTTTGGCTTTGTCAAAAGTAATTTTCATTATCTGCCTTGTATATGGTGCATATATGTTTCCATTTGCATTTGATATGTTTTACAAGGTATTCGCAGTGAAAATTTGTTATCGTGTCTGCAATTTGAAATAAGTTCAGATCCTTTACTTTGTAATTTGTTTTGGTCTCGGAAGGTGATTCTATCCATTTTCTCCTCCAGACAATGTTTACAATTTTGGCATTTATTCTTGTAGGCTGATGATGTTTTCCTTTATTTTCTATGACATTTCTGGTAGATTTGGGCGTTTGTTTTTATGGTCAATAATAGTCGAACATCCTACGCAACACACGTGACCTGAAAATTACGTTCAAGTATGAAACCCTCAGAGATATTTACAGTGCCCACTTTTATTATATATGAATATAGCACACACACACACACACACACACACACATATATGTATATAAATATAATAGTTTTAATAGTACGCGTGAAATACACTGTCGGCGTTCACATACGTCTACATTATTAATTTTAGATAGGGTCTATCCATGATATTGAGCACTTTTAACCATAAATATAACATATCCTAGAATATTATATTATATATATATATATATATATGTTCTGTTTAGACATTATTTTTATACTTAATTTATATATATATATATATATATATATATATATATATATATATATATATGTGTGTGTGTGTGTGTGTGTGTGTGTGTGTGCACTTCATTTATACTCATACACATATTAAAATAATAAGAAAGAGCAGTAAGATTTATAATCCGGTGTTCTTAGCAGTTACTTTTTTTTTTAAAATAACAGTGCTCCATAAAATAGTAGAGAAAAATGTTATAATTTTTTACTTTTTAAAAAAATATGATTCCATCGCAACACAGAAATTTCAATATTTCAAAACTGAAACTAAATTTATAAACTTAATTATAAAAATTATACTTAAAATCCATAGTTTCTTTCTTTCCATTGTCAAGCGATATTAGGTATCTCAGTTTTGAAATATAGAAATTTCTGTGTCGCGATGGAATTATATTTTTTAAAAAGTAAATAATTATATATATATACATATATATATATATATATATATATATTCGCTTTCCAATGATCTTACGGTATCAATACATTTAAATTCATAAGTTTAGAATTAAATCGGGGATTAGTGACAGAAGTTAAGCAAAAAATAAGGAAACAAACACAGTAAAATGAAAAATAAAAACACGTACTGTCAAATGAGAGTAGGACGCAAGAAATTGTAAAAAAAATTGCAGAAAATAAGAAATAAATAAATGACATCGAAAATTAAAACTAAAGATAAAGAAAAAAGTAATGGTGTTGAAAAAAGCAAAGGACAATGACATAAAACTGAACGTAAAAAAGTCGAGGACAAGATCTAAGAAAAGGAGTTCTGAAAAAGAATTAAAATAAAGAATAATTAGCAGGATACCCAGAAAATGAACATAACGTCGAGTATAAGAAAAGAAAAAAAATTAGACTATCAGAAAAATAGGCAGAGTATATAAAAAAGTAATTACAGCTTAGAAAGAGGAAAATGCTAGAGAGGACGTGGAATTATGAAAAATACAGAAAATAAAAGAAAAAAAAGTAACGGAAAAGAAAACTTAAGTAGAGGGAATGAAAAAGAAATAAAAGTAAAAGTAAATTACAGAAAAAAACCCCGAAAAAGTCGTATATTGCAAGAAAAAGGAGAAGACTAAAGGAAAAAGAAGTGGACAGGTAAAAACGGACGTCAAGAAGTAGAGGAATTAGACTACAAGAAAAAGAAATAGAAGATAGGGGAAAAGAATTGAGTACAGGAAATAGAAGTACAAGAAAAGAATTAGAGTACAAAAAAGGAAGTAGAGTACAGGAAAGAGAAATAGACTAAAAAAAACAATGAGAGTACAGTAAAAGGAATTAGAGTACACGGTAAAGACGCAGACTGTAGGAATGAAGTAGACTACAAGAAAAAGGAGTAGAGCTCAAGAAAGATAACCAGACTACAAGAAAAGTACGGTGACTGTAGGAATAAAGTAGACTACACGAAATGTAGAGTACAATAAAAGAACTAGAGTACAACAAAGAGAAGTAGAGTACAAGAAAAAAAAGAATAGAAGAAAACGAAACTAATGTAAAAAAAAGATAACGTAAGAAAGAAATGGAAAAGAGTCAAAGTAAAAGAAGAAAAGAAAACAATAAAGAGAGGGAAAGAAAAGAAACAATGATAATAAGAAGAAGCAGAGGAAGAAGAAGAAGAAGAAGAAGAAGAAGAAGAAGAAGAAGAAGAAGAAGAAGAAGAAAAAAAGAGTAAGAGGAGGAAGAAGCATTACGTTAATCACTTAAATAGAAAGCAACTAAAGCGCTATTGCGAAATATTTTTCGGATGCTGAGATGCTTTTCTCCCTCAGGCCACTTTGGCATGGCGTACAGGCTGCGGGGAAACTCACCTCAAGTATATCTCATCAACAATATTCAGATACTGAAAGAAAAAATGTTTACCTTCTCAATTATAGGATGTCTTATGAAGACCGTATTGAATTTTAGTAAGTAAGTTTCCTTTTCTTTTTCTTTTTTTGTATATTTGGTCATTATTGCCAGCAAATAGCTTTTGAGTGGATTGCGTTTTGTTGGGAATTTAAAAGGTGTAAAGAAACTGGAGATGTTTTATTTTTATTTCTTTGCGTTTCAATCTTGTTTCCAATAGACTCTGGTGTTTGTCGCTGGGGAGCAAGTAATAAAAACTCTTGTCAAATCCAATGAATTCTACCCATACTTCACATTTACTTTAAATACCACCAAACTTAAAATTCCTTCAATGTCTATATAGATTTTGGAAACCAGGTTAAGTGTGCCAATTATTATGGAAACGACCGTCATTTTCAGGTGCTACTGTTTGCATAGTGGTCAGTATGTTATTAGTAATTATCTATTTTTTTTTCATTCTCCTTCTTATTCATTTTCTTGCACTTAAAATGCCACGGCATAGTTTTGTCAGAATCCTGTTTATCTGTTCGCTAAAATCGAATCCAGTCTCTTCGTCAAATTGTTTTCACACACATAGAATCAGAATCAAAATATGTAAGTGGTTTTTCAATTGAATTGCGTACACGTTACATAAAGACGCTCTGAAAATGGCCACTTTCGTTGTGTTTCTCGAGATGTGATATATATTTTAGTTACATCCAGTGTGTATCTGTAAGCATATAATTGTGCCTTTTATAACTTTGATGATTTGTTTTTTTTTTCTTTTTAACGTAGCGTGTATTGCATTTTCATTCGTTCTACGCACACTGAATCATTCTTTTGGAACTTTCTGTTCTTATTTTGTCTATATCAGTCATTCACTAGCGATATAGGTTCAATATCACAAAGTAAAACTGAAAAAAAAAAGAAGAAAAAAACACGTGAAACGATGGGCAAATATCCAGACCTTGTAGGAGAGAGAACCACTTAGAAATAACTGGGAACGCTCTTCAAGGGATACGGCCTGAAAAATACTACTACTGATACTACTACTAATAATAATACCTTAATAAAAATTAGAGATATTGTCCGAATACAAGGACCTGGAGATCGAGATTAACAGAATGTGAGGAAATGAAGACTGAGACTATACCAATAGTAATCGGAGCTCTAGGCCTTGTAAGAAAAGGAATGGACAATTTTTTCTAACAGTGTCCCAGGTAACATACAAATTACCCAGAAGATCACCCTACTAGAAACATTCCATATACTAAGAAAAGTACTATCAATTAAATGACAATTCTCCTATTGGGCCTAAGGGTCATAGTTTGGACCCGGCTCTACAGGATACAACGCAGGAAACATAACACAATAATAATAATAATAATAATAATAATAATAATAATAATAATGTGTAAGCCCAAAATGCAGATTCTGTGATAAATATCCAGAAACGATTGATCATCTTGTATCAGGTTGCACGATATTGGCACCCACTGAATATAAATCCCGACATGACAGAGTGGGCCAATATCTGCACTGGAAAATCTGCAACTTCTACGGGAAGGAAACTGAAAGAAAATGGTATGAACACCACCCAGACCCGGTTACGGAGATAGGACCTGTTACAATTCTATGGGATAACACAATACACACTGACAGAACAATCAAGGCCAACCGCCCAGATATTGTTATTAAAGACCACAAACAAAAACGGTGCCTCCTTATTGATATGGCAGTTCCTGCTGACTGCAATGTATCTTTGAAGATATTCAAAAAGCTGTCGAAATACAAGGACCCTGAAATCGAAATCTCAAAAATGTGGCACATGGGAACATCAACAATACCTGTTGTAGTTGGAGCCCTCGGATTGGTTGGAAAAGATTCCAGTAGACTAATTGAAGGGATTCCTGGAAGTCCATGCCTCAAAGAGATACAAAATATTGTTCTCACAAGTATAGCCCACACTTTACGAAAGGCTTTATCTATGTAATTTTTTTTTTGTCAGTAGAAAGTGTCATGATGCCATTTCTAACCTTAGGTCCCTGGGGAGACCCGGAAAGAAATATGTAAACGCCAGAAATCAAAAATAATAATAATAATAATAATAATAATAATAATAATAATAATAATAATAGCAACAATAACATCTTAGGCAAAACAAATATCTTGCAGAAAGTGCTCGGTGTCTCAAGTGTTAAGACTTGACAGAACGATACACTTAAAATGATTTATGATATTTGAAACAGTTAAAATGTCAGTAATAATAATAATAATAATAATAATAATAATAATAATAATAACAGGAATAACATAAATATTATGAAACACCAGGATTTTACACGAGAATCTCAAAAACAGGGAACTATGTGAACATTAGTCCTTTCTTCTAATGACCATTGTGAAAAGGAACGCGAAAGCCACCGAAATCACTGAAGCATGTCGAAGAGAGTAGAGTGTGAATTTGAGACTTGTTGTCACTTTATACTCAACGATGTTTCTCGTTCTAGAGAAAAATACTTGAGTTCAATTGGACGATTGATTTCCAATAATTTTTACTTAATTAAGAAACAAATAAATTTATAATAAAATGGTAAAGAAAAATGTCTATCAGATAAAAATAACTCTCCACCTATTAACTGCTAAATATAGAGTCGTTTCCCTTTATAAGTAAATAAAAAGAATAAGCAGTTGAAAATATTTTACCTGTACTCCGCCATTGGCAGCCAGGTAGTAGAATATTTGTCATGACCATTTTGAAAAATGCCAGTATGTTTACCAATTCAGTTGTATCCAAGACAGAACGGTGTGCGATAACAAACACTAGGAAAAAAGTCTTTAGAGGCCTACCTGTTAAGAACTTTTAATAAAATATGCTGTATTTTTTGCTGTAATAGGTGTAATAGTATCTATCTATCTATCTATCTATCTATCTATCTATCTATCTATCTATCTATCTCAGCCTGTTCATATCTATCTATCTATCTATCTATCTATCTATCTATCTATCTATCTATCTATCTATCCCATTTTGTTAATCATTTCATACCAAGCAAGTAAACAAAACTACTAAGACGCAAGTGGTTACTGATTATGAAAGAAAAAGAGAACGTTATTCAGGAGTGTAAACAACAAAAGAACAGGAATTAAGAAGACAAAAATGACCATTGGCATTGCATTTCAATTTTTGGAAATCAAAGTTAACTGGAAAGCAAGAAGCCGGAAGAGAGTTCCATGAACGAGAAGTGCGAGAGAAGAAAAATTAAACATTACATGATGAGAGTTTACTACCAATCTAGTACTGGCCTTAAATCCATAAAACTTGGCTACCATCGAGGAAAGTTCATCAGAAGAATTACCAGGGAACTATTCATAGGCACAGGGAAATCTACATTACAGCAGTTGGAAAGTGACTGAAGCCGAGACGTTATGTCGGGACCAATACCTTTATATTCTTTTTGCATTTTATCAATAATCTCTAAATACATAACAGAAGCACCAGTCCAGATGTGTCAGCAATACTCAAAGCATAGGTCAATGATAGTCTTATAAATATATAAGATAAATTCTGACGATAAAATCTGTCTAGCACGACACAACGAACGAACCTTTGTAGCAGCAGACGTAGCAATTGATTCAATATAATCTTTCCCCTTCATGTCAACAGCAAACATTATCCCGAGAGAATGAATTAAGTCTCTTTGAAGGTTAGCATTAGCCGTACTGATGGAAGATAAAAAAAGGTTATCTCAGACAATTAAAAGAGAGGTTTCGTTTTGAATGCGTTTAAATGAACAAGCTATTCCTTCCTCAAGCTAATAAAAGATTATAGGTCATATTTTATATCAGCCGCCAATTTGACCTTATGAAACCGTCTTAATATTAAGCCAGGACTAAATAATTGTGTCATCAGCGTAGAATCCGAGGTGAGAACTGATGACATTGGGAAGATCGTCGATGAAAATTAGGAACAACTCAGTGACAAGGATAGACACCTGAGGGACGCTTACTTCAATCCCCCCCCCCAAAAAAAAAACTTACATTCGTGATTTGATAAGAAAGATTGAAACAATTCAAAATACTATAATGTTTCAACTTGTGAAGAAGACCAGCATTTCAACCACTGTCAAATGGCTTCAGGGTACATAAAGCAACAAGCCGAGATGCAACATTTTTATCTAAAGCTTGATTGACCCTCTCAGAAATAATCGTTTATATATCAGCAGTTGAAAACCATATTTCTTAATCTAAAAGAAGGCCACGAGATCTTTAAACAATTCTGAGATAATCAGGGCCTCTAGTACTTTGCGAAAAAGCAGTAAAAGGCTAATACAATGATGAGAAGGCTCGCCTGAGTTCTTAAAGACTGGAACTACAGAAAAGAATTTCCAATAAAAAAAACATAAAAAAAATGAAAAAAAACAAAGTCATTCATTTAGTTTAGATAGAATATCAGCCATTTCAGGAGCACATAAGGACTAGTGAAGATATAACATCAGGGTTCACATGCTTTGGGAGGATCCACTTTAGATATGATAGAAACCACAAACGGTTTTATATGCATCTGACCCAATAGATTCAGTTCTAAGTGGAAAGACAGATTGGGAATAGTGTGGAAAGAGTCAAGAATTTGAAGAGAATTTACGTGCAAGAAGACTTATTCTTATTTAACAAACGATTACAGAGCCGTTCGAGATACCATAATCTTTCAAGTCGTGAAGAAGACCAGCATTTCCACCCTTGTCAAATGGCTTCAAGGTATATAAAGCAACAAGCCGATATGCACCAGTCTTATCTAAAGCTTGATAGACTCTGTCAGAAATAATCGTCAACACTTGAGCCAGGGAAGCGAAAACCATATTTCTTAATCTGAAAGAAGTCCACGAAATCCTTAAACAGTTCAGAGATGATTAAGGCCTCTAGTACTTTGCGAAAATGCGGTAAAAGGCTAATAGAATGATCAGAAGGCTCGCCTGAGTTCTAAAAGACTGGAACTATAGAAGAGGATTTCCAATAAGCAGAAATGCAAAAGGCAGCAAATCATTTATTTAGTTTAGATAGTAGAGCAGCCATTTCAGGAGCATATAAGGACTAGTGAATGAATAACATCAGGGCCCACATGCTTTGTGAGGATCCAGTTTAGATATGATAGAAACAGACGGTTTATATGACTCAGTAGACTCAGTTCTAAGAGGAAAACCAGGTAAACATATTTCAGATTGGGAATAGTGTGGAAAGAGTCAAGAATTTGAAGAGAATTTACGTGCAAAACAATTTGCTTTATCAGCAGAAGATGTTAACACCTTAAATTGTGTAAAGAGTGATGTGGAATACTTATTTAAAGCACTATGACAGAGTCGCCAGTAGTCACGAGAACCAAATTTGTTAAATGTTATACGGTGCTTGATTCTGCCAGCAGACAGAGGCTTAACCTCTTTCAGGACAACATTACCATTAATACAAGCAGAGACACAAATGGGCGTCTGGTCTACAGTGATCGGTAGAATCGGCGTAGTCTAGGCGGAAAGGAATCCTGTGGACTATAGCGAATGAACAAGGGCATGAGACAAAGAGATGTTCGTGGTTTTAACTGGTATTTCCAAGAAGTTACAAAGCATCACTGCTGATTTTAACCCAAGAAGAAACCTCTGGGGCACAATTCTCAATAGGAAAGTTGAAAGTCGCAAAATGTATCTCAGTCAGTACGCTGGGTGTAGAACGAAGACGTGTAAATGGGAGCTTCTTGTCTAATAGGCGACTCAAAAATCAATAGAAATATCACTACAGCATGATTCGAAATAGCAAGAGGGCAGAATTGTGATGCTCGGAGGAGAGCTCGGAGAGAAAGTAAGAAACAAATCAAGTAAATCTGTGACATCATCTATCTATCTATCTATCTATCTATCTATCTATCTATCTATCTATCTATCTCAGTCTGTTCATTATCTCTCTCTCTCTCTCTCTCTCTCAGTCTGTTCATTATCTATCTATCTATCTATCTATCTATCTATCTATCTATCTCAATCTGTTCATTATCTATCTATCTATCTATCTATCTATCTCAATCAGTTCACTTTCTATCTATCTATCTATCTATCTATCTATCTATCTACTTCAGTTTCTTTCTATCTCGGATTGCAGAAACAAACGCGTGTTTTCGCTATCTCGTCATTTAACATGGTCTCGAAATCTAATCACTGTCGTTGCAGACACCAGCCTATAGACTACAAAACAACTTGTAAAAATATATATAGAAAAGAAAATAGCGTTATATTGTGATGTCATCACATCTGAAGTCATTCCAATGGTATAATATTCGATTTCAAAGGTATATTCTTGACATTTCTATTGAGAGTGTTTAGTTTCCATATTTAAAATCGTTAACAAAGCAATTCGTGCTGCCAACTTTATAGACTCTCCATTCAAATTTGATCCAACTCATAAAATTCTCTACAGCTTTCAGATTCTTTCTGTTACTAAACGTTTTCAATTATTTCAATATCTGCAATGATTTGATATGGCCCGTCTTTAACCCCCAATTCTTGTTCTATGCGATTAAGCTGAAAATAATAGCTCAACGCTAAGTTCGAACAAGTGGTCACAGACACCGCTTCAAATCGGCATTCGAAGGTTAAGATCACGTTAGCTATCATTGCGTTCCTGGAATTAGACAAGTATTTAAGCTGTCATTACTTTTACAGTGCATCAAAAGTTTGTGACGAGGGAATGCGTATCTTCTGTCTACAAACGAAAGTCAGCGAGGTCAAAATAAATTTTCGGGTCACTGCACTTGCTGCCAGTGGTAAATGCTTCCTTTCCGCATCGCGGTAAGATAGGACATTTTCCAGAATAAAACCCGAAGACGAATCATGAAAACTCGCTCTATTTATTTGTAATTTCGCTGAAAAATGCACAATCTGGCTCGACTTGTTGGAGACAACCAATTTTGGCCTGATGAGACGCGAAATTACTTTTCTCGCCAAGCGGGCGCAGTGGAAAGTCGCCAAGATAGACTTTATTTGAAGAAGAAAATAAATTTATGGTCACTGCTTACAGATACGCGAAGAGACGGAACGTGTTTGTTTTGAAGAAGACCTGATGCAGACGCCAACATTTTTTGCGACCATCTTTAGTGAAACGAAATTGTGGCATTTTGTTCTATTGTCCTTCAGGAAAATTAACCATGAAATCTATTTTCGCACCTTTAATATTTGACGCTATACGATGTTTTGTCTGTCTCAGTCCTCATCCACGAAAAATATTTGGCTTGGACAAAATTATTCTTTTTGTTTCGTTTTTTTTTTTATATTACAAAAATGATATAATTGGTTGAAATTCATTAATTTCAGATTGCTCAGATGCTGTATACCTTGCATGTTCCTTTTAAAAATTAGTTGTTTATCTGTTGTAACGTAGATAAGGTTACTGAATAGAATAATAACACACGAAGGTTGGTAATGAACGATAATACTCACGACAAGAACAACACATATAAGATTCGCGGCGCGTAGAAGTAGTAGTCAACTGCTAGAAGTGAGTCAAGTAAATTCCACGAGGAATCTTCAACTGCAGGATATCTACCAACCTCCCCACGCGGTCAGATGTGGCACAAGGCCGAATTTAATGTGGGGTAACCGAGCCCGTAGACTCGGCCGAAAATTCCCCGTAGACCCCGTATAAAACGGAATCGAGTGGCTGTTTCCCGAGACGAGACTCTGCCCTTCGACATAGCCTTGTTTGGGGAACCTCTCTACTCGGAGAGGTAGAGAGTTTAACCAGCACAACTGGAGACGAATCTCCAACTCTTGACCAACATACAGTATCTACTACTGTATTTATGTGAATGTGGACATACCCATTATCGTCTGTAGGTATGCTACAGCATTATCAGGGCTTATAGGAGTAAAGCAGTTTACTTTGTGGTGTAATCCAAGGGTCAGCAACATTTTCATAACTATGTGCCGACTTAGGATTTTAAAATCATTCATTGTGCCAACATCATACCTATTTTTATACAAGTCCAGGTCAATATTCCTGTTCTATAATATATTTTATATTGTAATATATAGCATATATATTTTAGAATATTATGAAATGGACAAAGTCTAACAATTATTTTTATTTTTTTTGTTAATACTATTTATCATAAACAAAGCATTTGCTTAAATATTTCTATCTATAAAAAGAACGTATAAACATAACAAATGTATTAAAAATACTTTAATATAACAGGTCATCCCATAAATTCTGTCCGAATTTTGAATAAAGAAAACAAGTGACCAAATGTTACATTTAATTACAGATTCAATCAACAATGTATTTCCCTGATTATCTATGACTTCCTTCCATCTATTAACAAGCTTACTAATTCCATTACTGTAAAATTCTTTTGGCTTTGATTCGAAGAACTCACAAATGTCAGTTTTAACCTCTTCCTGTGTTACAAAAGCTGTTTCTTCCAAATGATTCTGTAAGCTACAATACAAGTGCTAGTCTGAAGTCGGGAGAATAAGGTGGATGAGGAATTTTCTCCCAACCAATTTCTTCGATCTTTTGTGACGTGATTCTTGCTGTGTGGAGTCGCGCATTATCCTGATGAAACATCACATCTTTTCGATTCACTAGAGCAGGTCTTTTTTTTCCTCAAAACTTGGTTCAAACGCTCTAATTGCTTGTATGTTTGAGCATTAATCGTTGCATTAGGTGGTAAGGATTCAAAGTGGATTATTCCTTGGCGATCCCACCAGATTGAAAGAAGAACCTTTTGCCCATGAAGTTCCTTCTCGGCTGTGGCTGGGGTCCTTCCCTTTACCAAAGCCGCTGTCTACGACGCTCAACATTTCGATAAAAGATCCATTTTCGTCGCCAGTCACAAGTCTATCCAAAAAAGGGTGAAACAAGTTGGCGAGAATGGAGAGAAGAGCAGATGTCAACTCGGGATTTGAGGTTGTTTTCAGAGAATTCATGAGGCACCCATTTTCCAAGTTTAGGAACTTTCCCAAGTTGTTGAAGATGATGATGAACAGTTGTATGGTTTGAACTGAGAACCACTACCAATTTCTCAACTGATAAAGTAGGATTTTCTTCAAGGGCTGCTTCAAGAAGCTTTTCATCAAACTCAACTGGACGTCCGGTTCGATCTTCATCTTCAAGGGTGAAATCTCCACCTCTGAATTTTGCAAACCATCTTCTGCAAGTTCTTTCATTCACACATTCCTCTCCATAAACTGAGTGAATGTATCTAGCCACTTCGGCTGCTGAGTTTCCTTTCTTGAACTCATAAAGCATTATGTACCTCAAATGAATCTTGGGTATTTCCATGTTAGCAGGGTTTTAATGAAACAAAAATTAATTTTATTGTTCTCTGAAATAAAATTTGATCAGTTTAAATGCACCTAAACATAAAAGTAATGTTCAGCTCCATTAGAGATTATAAAATACTATTTAAATTTCGTTCATTTTAGAAAAAGGTAAAATTAGGACAGAACTTATGGGATGACCTGATATATTAAAATTGAAACAGCTAAATATCTTCTTTGCGTTGTAGTAGTTATTGGTTTGAACTTCATGATCTCATTTGTGGCTGCCTGTCATTGAAAATTGCTTGGCATACCATGTATGGCACTCGTGCCGTAGGTTGTCGGCCCCTGATTTAATTGATAACGGCTCGGAATGAGAAATCAGAGAGCCGAGTTCGAATTCCAGTCAGGTTCGTTATATTCATTTACTCGCAAATGTTGACCATGTTTGCCGCAGTCTCTGAATATGGAATCCAGTGAAGTCCGTAATCTGTTCAATATCAGAGTTTGGCAGTGAAGATTCAGAGAAAGTAGCGGTTGTTAAGTAATTCTTTAAGTCTTCGATATCAGGTTGACAGTGAGGATAATTTGGGAGAGAAAACAAAATGGCTGCCTTTATACACGTCGCATTGAATATTTTGAGCTTTCTGATTGGTTAACCCTTCTATTGGTGAACTATAAAATGAGTGAGCCCATTTAGGCTAGCTCATTAGTACAGAAATACCCAAAAAACTGCAACAGCAAATACCCTTGAGAAATGTATGAATCCCTCTTCTCCCCCACAGCTCGTGAAAATTCTGGTGAGTGATATCTCCCTTGAGACACGGGCCGTTGTCGACAGTGCAAGGAGATAAATCATTTGTCAGGAAACACTTTACCGTCGACAATCTAGTATCAGAGAGGCCTAAAACACGCCGACTACATCACAGCAGAAGTGCAAAACACCCTCCCAAAAGTGTCTGTGAACATTCTCGTGAAAAAACAGACAAGTATTTACTTATATAGATTCAAGTATAAATGTAACCAATATTTATCTGTAAAGACTCATGTATTAACCGACGAATGTTTACTTATATAGACTCAAGTATAAAAGCGATAAATGTTTACTTATATACTCAAATATAAAGTTAATCTATATAAAATCAAGTATAAACTCGACCAATGTTTACATATATAGAACACATATAAACCCTACCAAAATTTACCTATATAATCAAGTATAACCCTAACAAGCATTTATCTATATTGACTCAAGTATAAACTCGACCAACGTTTACCTATATAGAACACATATAAACCCTACCAAAATTTACCTCTATAATCAAGTATAACCCTAACAAGCATTTATCTATATTGACTCAAGTATAAACTCGACCAACGTTTACCTATATAGAACACATATAAACCCTACCAAAATTTACCTATATAATCAAGTATAACCCTAACAAGCATTTATCTATATTGACTCAAGTATAAACTCGACCAACGTTTACCTATATAGAACACATAAACCCTACCAAAATGTACCTATATAATCAAGTATAACCCTAACAAGCATTTATCTATATTGACTCAAGTATAAACTCGACCAACGTTTACCTATATAGAACACATATAAACCCTACCAAAACTTACCTATATGATCAAGTATAACTCTAACAAGCATTTATTTATATAGACTCAAGAATAAACGAGAAAAGTGTTTACCTTTATAAATTCGGTTCTAATAAAAGAGCAGGTTTCAATGTTATATTTTATGAAGCCGAACACTGGTAAAGCCATCAGATGGAGGATAGCATTGTAACTTTTATTCTGGATCTAATCTAAGCTTAGATCCACTGGGGCTTAATCTCATTGCATTCATGACATGGGTCTCATTGC